AATAGTTTCGTAATTGTACTTCATTACTTTTATCATTATCTGAAATATATCATTGGATTGTATATTATAACATTTATATTAATGTTAACAAGAAATTGTATTTTTTTTAATTTCAAATCATTGGAGTTTACATATAAATCTTCTGTACCTACGTAAAAAAAAATTTATCTCCATCGGCACTTTATAATTAAAATAAATCAAACTGTATACTAGATATAAAGTTAAAAGTACAAAAGAAATTGTAAGTTAGGCGTTTTTTTAATTGATTTATCTCTTTACTTCTTACTTCATAGTTTTGCTTTTAAATCGGTATTATTTGATACCTGATATATGATTGAAATATGATTTTACAGCTTAATATATTTGTCAGCTAAAACACAAGTAATGTGAAAATCATTATTCAATTAATTTCTATATAAATGTTAATAATATTATATCAGATCATTTTTTAAATAATTTTTATTCATTGTTAATTAAATTTAGATTTTAAAGTAAACGCAACTGATAACATAATTATGATAAAACTGGTCATTCTGAAATTATAATGACAAAAATAAGAAAAATATATCACAAGGAGATTCCTTATTGCTCTACCAAATCAAACATTTTTTTGTTTTATCATCAATAATGCTGCATACAACGGAAAGTCCAAAGGGCAGAATTTATCCATACAAACGTAATTAATATAATAATATTAATATTACTTTCACTCTGTTCACATCTATTATCCATTCGACTATTAGAATTAATTAGAATATTATCTTATGTATTCGTGACATGATTAATTTTTAATCGTATGTAGAACTTGCTTAGATATATATATCTATTAACTTTATCTTTATTTTAAAATAGAACAAATTAGGAAGAATTTCTAGTATTTAAACATTCAGATAGATAAGTGTCATAATAAATCAGCATATTGACAAATTTTATTCACTATTTCTGTCAGCTCTTTGTAGCAAAGAAATTGAAACGACTATTTGGTAGAAAGAATTACATTCTCATAGCCATACACTCTTGCAGAATATACTCTATAAAGCAAATAAATTCGTAAAATAACGAAGAAAATCTATCGATTGATATTAATAGATAGAGAAAATACTTCGAATTTAGCTGATTACTTCGTGTAACTTCATAGTAAGTTTCTCACTTATCCATGAATTTTCGGCACGCTTTAATTGTCGATACGTGTACTCTGACTTTCGACCTTTTGTCCAACTCTAGAGATTCCTCGGCTTCTCTAACGCACGCCCGCGTGCACGCAAAACTTGTGCCCGGGTTTTGCACAAGCCTGACGGTGTTGTTGCCGCGTCCTTGGCTTAAGTTCGAGTAAAACTTCGGACTGTAACCCGACCGTAACCTCTGAATTCCCGTTCGTTCGTGGCCCTATGGCATTCTCTCTCTCTCTCTCTCTCTATATATATATATATATATATATATATATATATTGAAAAAATGATGTCACTTGCTACGAGTTGCCAAACAAGGGCATTTTGTGATGAGACACACGTACATCCCCAGAACCCTTGAGAATTCGTCAGATTTAGTTTTCATTTAATCTTTTCTTCGCAGACCATTTTCTTGACGGGCTTCATACTAGGTCTTTAGTTTACGTTCCTTTCTTAAACTTCGTTTGCTAGTGAGAAACTTTGCTACGGTAATCGAGTATCCGAGTTCATTTACAAACACCCGACATTTTCAGCTGGAATTTCCACTTCATTGATAAGCGAACGATATTAGCAATGTTGATTTCTATACAAAAGGCGTTATTATCATTTTAATTAACCTTTGCTTTAATTATAACACATAACCTCAAGCATTCATTCTCATTCGAATGGGAATGGAACAAGGCGACACAAATATCGAATCCAAAGATTTCTGGATGTCTGGGATTGAGGAATTTTAATCCTAAAGTTTTACGCACTTAATATTTTCGTCTTTAGCGCCAATTAAAAATTGTCTTTTACGAACATTTATAAGTCTTACATAAGTTTTAAATACAAAATTATATTAAATATATTAAAATAATATTTATATGATTATAATCAAAGTTAAATACTGAGAAACAATGTTGTAATATATAAGCAATCGTAATTGATTAAATATTGTAAATCTTTTATGTGCTATTATGTGCGTTCATGTATTTCATTCATGGTTTTTATTTAACTATATATAATTTTAAAAAGATGTATGTTTTTCTAAAGAGCCATAAAAATACAAAAATTGAATAAAATTCAATCTACTTAATATGCATTTATAATAAATTAGAAGTCAATGTTCTGATTATAAGACTATAAGAATTACTTTAATAAGATTTAAAACGTATAATTATGTATGAATTAACATTAATATTTAGTGAGACAAAAATTTTAAACCTAACAATAATATTCGCATTATTTTTCAATTATTTAGTGCGAACTTTGCACGCGAATTCACGGATTCTCGCAAGATTGATATTGTTAAGAATCAATGATTTGCTCCAATCGTAATGTACAATTCAATTGTAATATCTTTAAGACGAAATAGCCTAACATAACTAAATATAAAGTGTTTTTCTGAAAAACACAGTCATTGGAAATTATTTATTATTTAAAGGAATATAATTTAGATGGCAATTCGACATTTTTAAAGTAAACTATATTTCTCTAAATTAAGACTAAAAATAACATCACATGAAAAGTAATTGTAACTTTTGAATTTTACATTTTAAATTGAAACAAAATTACTTTGAATAACATTATTACAAATGTTGTTAATAAACAGTTCAGAAAATACATTATAAAAATGTCATGTTTTAATCATACATTTAATTTTTATTAGATGAGAAAGAATTATATTTATATTTATATTATATTATCAATTGTACAAAGATATTAGAAAAAATATAGAAATTGTTGAAATATTTTATATCTACGTTAATGTATGAATCTGTCTTTATTTTATATTTATCAATTATTTATAAAAAACAAGTGTAAAAAATGTGATGCCGCAAAAAAAAAGAAGAATATAAATAATATATTTCATATGTACACAATTAGAGTTCATCTATGTAATGCCATAAATTATAAAATACGCATATTAACATGAAATAAAAATTTTATGTTCAATAACCCAATACTATTTTAGATAAGCAATAAAATTTTAAGCTAATCTTTAATTAGGTATTAGTTAAATAAATGTTTATGTATTTTAATGTTGATTATGGTGTTGATTTTCCCTAACAGTCTTCACACATTATGCTAAAGCTTTGTAATTTCGTTATTTAAATATCAATGCAAGGAATTATAATTTTAAGCAAATATAGTAGACAGAACAATCTTACAGAATCAGAAGAATATAATTACATAGCACGCTTTTACATAATTAATACCTGATTGAATAAATTTGAAAAGTAATAGCTTAAGGAATTTCGTAATTAATAAACCGCAAATTTGATTAAAAATAAAAAAATTTATAAGCTTTTAACAAGAAAATGAGATTAATTTGGTTAAGATTTTTTCGCTTTTATAAACGGATATTGTTTTTTAATTGATAGTAAAATGTTAAAAATGAAGATATTAACAATGCAAATAAAACAAAACTAAATAAATAGTAAAAATATTTATCTGATAGTTCTTAAATAAATACAGATTTTAGAAAACCTTTTTTACATAATGTAATTCTTAATTTTTTCTTTACATTTACCATATCTGGAACCAATTGGTTTTATTTATTTTGAAATTGTGATAAACAAAAATATATTATTTAAAAAAATGTCAATACTATAATTATCTATATAAGTATTATACTGATTACTTGTATATACAAAATAATAATTAAAAGAAAATAATCAGAATACAGTATTTATGCCTTTATAATAATGCATTTTTTTTGTCGTACAATTTTCATAAAAAAAAACTAATTATTCTACAACATTTTTTGAATTCTATAACATTTTTCGAAGATTTTTCATTTACAAAAATTAAAATATTTTTAAAGTTTTTTTACTACAAATTTTTCGAATTCATCTTCTATGCAATAACTTTTCTTACAATGTTGTCTAGTATTATCATTAATATGCTATTTTTTTTTAATAGATACTTTTATCCATATATAACATTAATTATTTTATTATGTAAATCAATTTCGTTAAAGATTATCCATAAATTATGTGGAAACATATGGGATAGGAGTATTCAAAAATTTGAAAAAAATTTAGTAATATTTTTTTATATTTTTGATTAAAGTTTTTTTTTAGTCAAAAGAACTGTAAACAGCGTTTAAATATTTTCAAAAACCGGATGAAACCTATTTTTAAAGGATTATTATGAATAACTAACTTAGTATTTACTTTGTGGAAGTGTTTTTATTTTTATAAGTTAGTTTGCTAGTAAGGTATATTTTTTGTTGACAAATGACAATTTAAATTTTTATAAAACTATATTTTGAAGACATATACTTTAATATTCATATTATTAAGTAAAATTTGACAGTAAAAAATTATCATAAATAATCTAATCAAATTTATATATTTTGTTAAAATAATAAATAAAACTATATAATATATATATCATATGCAATAATGTGACTATAAATTATAAATTTATAAATACTATTTGAAATTCTTAAAATCTTTTCCCTATAATATATTAGTCTATCTTTTTTATGGCAGAGATTAGTATATATGGATTTTAAAAGGTTATTTGAATTATTCTTCATCTAATAGTATAAATTAATAGTTATATATTATATATATATATATAGGCTTTAAAAATTATTTGACAATAAATAAGTGTAAATAATGCTTTTATATGCTTGAATAGTTAAAAAAATCATGTGCACGAGAATTAATACAATAATTTTATATTGTATTTTATTTGGTATTCGATTTTGTATTACTTGGTCAAATCTATAAAATCTGAAGCTGTAAAAGTATAGGTAGGTACGGATTATTCATACTGGCTATAACCTAGATTACCAAAAGCATGATATGCAGCATTAACTAAATTTATAGTACTCACATTTTATAATGGTGTTGCATGTGATGGTTGAAAATACTATCGGTAGATTGTTGCTGTTGCATCTGCTGCTGTTGCTGCATCTGATGATGAGTTTGTGGAGTATCCATGCTGGATGCGCCCAGCAAATTGGCACTCTCCCTGAACAATGTTGCTACCTGCATTCTGCTCGAGTCTGCTCTTCTTATTGTAAAATGGTTGAAACAATCACACTACTGGCTAACCAACTAGCAGCGCCTATGAAGCCTTTTATCTCTAAGTTCAGGCTCAAAGTCAAAACATAGGTGCAGTTCCTCGTTGACGCTCAATGAAGCACTCAATACTATGTCGAATTCCAATAATCAGCCAGGCAAGAGATGCGTCATTCCTGCTTTAGCCGATGAAAAACACATCCTCCTCCTTTGCCCTCTGCCTCGATAGAGGAAAACCTCCTCGAAGACTAAGGATGTCAACACTGCTAGCTACAGCTACAACTACATCTGAGCGAGAATAAGGTATATATCTATATCTAACACTGAAACAATGTCTCTCACTCTGTTTCACTTGACGATTGCCCTCTCTTGTTCTCACAAGGAGTATTCAGGGTGGCTTTGAACCTTGGCAAGACTGCGAGTTAGGAGGAGCTCTGGTCCGAGCTCCGGGCCGATTTCAGTCTCATCTTGGCGACGAGATCCAGCAACACTGACCGTCGATTTACAGCTCATCGACACTTTCTTTTGGCCACTAACTATTTTTTCTTCCAAAAGATTCCGCTCATCACCAAAACAAATCTGTTGCACCACCGCGATGGTTCTTCCTCGTACAGCCACAATCCACCGTCGAGATGAAGAAGCAGCGATGCTCTCGATGTGACTCCTTCGCTTTCCTTTAAAATATCCGATAGACCAGACAAGCGGCACAGAGGAACAACAGCAGCACACCCGACAACAATATCGGCCGCGTCTGGAGCTGTCACGCGCGGCTCACAAGAGAACCGAACTAACGAACGAGCGGTCCGCCGTATTCCGTATTCCGCGCGCGATCGTTTTCTCTCTCTCCCTCTCTCTCTCTCCCTCTCTCACGCTCTTTCACTGTATATCACGCGCCCACTGGCGACCCAACATCACATATTTGCCTGCGCTTGAGTGTGCTTACGTATGAATGCGCGCGTACCCGTTCCTGTACGTGTGTATGTGCATGCGTGTAAGTGATTTCGCGTGTACGCGAGTGCGTGAACGTGTGTGTACACAAACGTGTTTCTGGATGAAATCCCAAATTCGGTAATTCCCGGCGCACCGCAAATTACTAAGCAACCCCTTATTCGTGCACGCTCTCCCTTTCTTGCTTTCCCTCTCGTTTTATTTATTTACTTATTCCTTATGATAGTATCACCAAGCGAATCGCCGGGAAATCGCTCACTCGCGACCATGAAACACCACGTGAACTTCTGAGAGTTAGAAAAAAATATAAATTGCTGGTGTAAGTACGTGCGGTTTTTTGTGTCGCGTCGTCGTCGTGGTCGTCGTCGTCGTCGTCGTCGTCGAGGCAACCTAAACGCGGTACCGGAGTAGCGGCGGCACTGCAAAGTTGCTGTCGCGGCGCTCGAAGCTCGCGGCTTCGTACATGTACGTCGAGCCTCGGCTCTCCTCGGTTGCTCATCCGCCCCTTTCCCCGTAGTGCCGCAAGGCCGTGTTCGATCCTTCTCTCTTACACTCACTCATTCGGAGTGTTATCGGAGCCAACGTCTCACTCATTCTCTCACTCTTTCTCTCTCTCTCTCTCTGTCTCTCTATCGAGCTCGCACCTTCCCGCTCCTTTCGCCGTAAATCGAGTGACGATGACTCGTGTACGTATATTTAGGTGATATACCTATACATATGGGTTCATTCTCGCCCTCTCTCTCTCCCACTATATTGTTATATACCTGCCCTCGTGTACGCGCAACTACGCATGAGATACATATATACATATATATGCATACATGTATTTATCCATTTTTATCCATGAATGCATGCATCGGTATATATTTATGCATGTGTGTATGCATGCATACATAAGCAGAGTATTACGCATGCACGGACACGTACGTATGTACAAAATGCACACGTACAAGAACGTATTCTTGCTCTGCTTTTTTAGCGACGCGCGCAGCGCGACATCGTGTCTTGTACTTTTTCTCTGCTTATTTTGCGCATGCGCACTCCCTCCGTCCCTTTCTCGCCCACGCATAGCCGTCTCTCACTCTTTTCCTTTCCCTCAACATCCTCTTACTCCTTATCTCTCTCTGCTTCAAGTTTTCTAATACTGTGTGCATGACTTCCTCACTCCCTCTCTTTCTCTGTTGCGTACTTTCTACATCTCTTTTGCAGTTGTTGCTTTCTCATCCTTGTAAATGCGTGTGTAACCTTTCTGTCCTTGTTGCCCTTATCTTTCTCGCACTCATTTCAACTCCGTGCCTGCATCACCCCTCTCTATCTCATCCTTCTACCTGTGTTATTTTCTTCTCCGTATTGCACGCCCAGCTACGCCCCTCTCTCACTCAATCATTCTCTCTCTTTCTCGCTGCGTTATATCCATCCTTTATTCGTACTGTCTTCCTACTCCATCTTACTTGTATTTTTGCCTAGCGCTTTCTCACTCGTGCTCTCTCTCTCTCTCTCTCTCTCTCTCTCGCTCTTTCTCGATTGCTTTCATAACCGTCTTCTCTGTTTTATCTTTGCTAGACTTTGCATCTTTGTCGTACTGACGACACTGCACACAGACGAAAGTGGAAACATGCGCATGCTAATACGAGCGCGTACACACATATGAGTACACGCGGCTAACGTGTGCTCAAGCCTGTGCTTGCATTACGTGCAAAAATACATATAGGCGTACGGGCTCGTATGCAAGCACACGTAGCACGGCATACAGAAATACAGTTACACATACTACAATAATCTTTTCTCTTCTTTTGCTAAATTTCTAGTCTACAGTCTAGGCTGTGCTCCACGTACGATGTTAGAGCAAGAGCAGTGAGTTTCCCCTCCTCGTCAACGTCAGTTATCCCTGCCCCAATCTGACCGTCTTCTATTGTTTATCTCTCTCTCCCTCTACCTGTCTCTCTCTATCTATCTATCTATCTATCTCTCTCCTCCTTTCCCCTCCTTTCCCTATCGCTCGTACTGTCTTCTCCCACTCCCTTTCTCCCTCCCGCTTCGACTTTGACTCCCACTCCCTTTCCCTCTTCTTTTCCCTCTTCCTTTCCCTCTTCTTTTCCCTCTTCCTTTCCCTCTTGCTTACCATCTTTCTTTCCCTCTTCCTTCCCTCTCTCGCTCCCACACCACTCACACCGTCGTAGCCGCGTGTCTGGCAATATATTGGTGTATAAGTCCTTCCACCTCGTGGTCTGGCTTAGCATTTATACCACACTTCGAACACTCGGCGGCCCCTCCTAGCCTCTTCATCTGTTTTCTTTCTCTGCTTTGCAAAAACATATGGTTGTAAAGCAAGAGAAGGAAAGAGAGAGAGAGAGAGAGAGAGACAGTACATAACGACCGTATACAAACATGCGAGTTTATATGATGCAGGTATGCATGGTACCGTATATGTGCATACGTACCTTGAGAAAACGATAGTGTCTGTGCTCATGTCCATGAAGATATATCTTTCAGCTTGGTCAGTACTGTTCCTCTCTCTCTCCCTTTCATGTAACTCTGAGAGAGAAGGAGAGCGGTT